GACGCCGATCAGAAGCGAGGGAAGCAGGCTGAGAGGAGAAGAGGAGCGACGGTAGGGCGATGGTGAACGGCGTCTGGTTGATCGAAGACTACTGCGCAGTTCACCGGATGCTGGCGGAGATGGAGACCGACGCGGTGGTGACGAATAACGACGGCCCTGGTACAAGGCTCCTGCGGTATAGTCTCGTTCGCCTATGTCGTACCCTCGGTGCTCATCTTGCTGGCGCTTGCGGTGAAAGCGTGAAACGTGACCACGATAGCCGCAATAATAGCACGTAGGGCGAGTCGATCGATAAGCAGGGTAGTAGCTTGTGTTAGATGCACCGGGAGAGAGAGCCGTGAGAGGGACAGATGATGGCTCAGGCGGTGGTGGTGCAAAGCTCGCGGGAAAGCTTCTGGGAGGTGTGGCAGCAACCGACGCGTACGTTCGTGGCGGCGACGTCGAGCTGACGGTGCCTGATGGTGCGGCGACGGCATGCGAGAACGATGGGAGAAGAGTACGAGCGACAGTGGGCTGCAGGTGGGACATATGGGTCATGGACGTGAGCTCCTTCTGATGACATCCCGCAATGACGTTGAAGAAGACTGAATGGGACACACTGAAGGTAGTGTGAATCCCATTGATTCCAATTCTTCACGTATAATCACCCTTATTGTGTCTCGTAGGTTTGGATCCGCCGTAATACGGGCCGCGTCACTGTCCGGTTGTAGGCGCATAGACTCAAGTTCTTCGAGGCGCTGACAGGACGTCAGCAACGGTTGCTGGATTCTGGATTGCAAGGGCATTGAATGCGACGGGTGCAATCCCCTTAAGAAGCTGGCGTACCTTGTTGGACTCTGTCATTGGGGTGTCAACCCGACGGCAAAGTGAAAGGACATCCTCGATGTAAGATGTATACGACTCCCCAATGTGCTGTTTCCGAGTCGCGAGAGCTTTCTTTGCGAGAGCTGAACAAACAGCCGGTGTGCCAAAGACATGGCGAAGCTGATCTTTGAAGGCTGACCAGTCGGGGATGTCGATGAAGTGGTTGAGGAACCACGTCTTCGCGACACCCGTGAGGTAGAATGACACGTAAGCGAGTTTGTAGGTGTTATCCCACCGGTTAGCAGCGCCGACACGTTCGAAATCGTCCAGCCATTCCTCCACATCTTCCCCGCGCATACCAGCGAAGGGATGGGGCTCACGTTGGAGGCTGTTAATGACGTGAAAAGGCGCGGCACGCGGTGGCGGAGTGGGAACGGATGCAGCACCGACCTCTTCTTGGTGCGACATATTTCCGGACACCTGGCCCAAGCGGCGACCTGAACGTAGCTCCAGGAAGTAGAGTGGTCGAGAGGATGACGGGGGATCTAACAGCACCCTCCACCACGTATGAAGTCTTGGTTTGGAAGACCTTTATTAGGCCCGAGGAACCAGCAGCCGACAGCTGAGATGAACGAACCAAGATACCAAGATGATGATGCTACGTGACAACGATGAGGATGCATGAGCAACACATGATAATGATGATAATGTACAGATGAAGAGGATTGGTATACTAAATGCCCGCAACAACAATAATAATAATAATAATAAAAATATTAACAATAATAATAGTAATAATAATTGTTGGCGTAAATTGTCCAGAAACGACGATATCATCGAGAGGCGCCATAGTGGAGGGCTCCGGAAATTTGGTCCACCTGGGGTTCTTTGACGTGATTCCAATTCTAGATACAGGGGCATCGACCACTGTCGCCCCCGCGGTCAGGGTTCGATCCCGCGACCTGCGGGTAAGTAGTCGGCCACTTTAACCATGCACTAGACCACCGTGGCAGGTGGCCGTACAGGTATGGGCCCCCGACGATATGTTATAGGCTAAAGCGGCGCGTTTGGAAAGTTTGGCACCATGTACTTTTGTGGCAGATACATGTAATGTTTTTCTGCTCACACGGGCGCGCAAAATATCTTTTAAGTAAGCGGTCTTTTACGAAGTTGAAAGACTTTTAACAAAGAGGTGTTGTGGCGCAGACACATGGCAGCAACGATCTCCTTTTAGTGTTTTTGTTCGAAGACGCTAGCGAAAGCGTGGCGCTAGCAGTTAAAAGAGAAGCAATGAAAATTAAACGATGTATCACGATGTACAAATTAAAGACTTGTTGCACTGTTCGTTTGTTCAAATAAAGTTAAGAATAAGAGATGAAGAAACACCAATGTGAAAGTTTGTTGCACTAGTTAAGGAAGCATTCCCATAACTAGCGACGTGCACAAGTCCGTCTGGCACCACTGGGCTTTTATTTACCGTATTTGTTTTTCGCTGCTCTCGACTGCTCTCGACACGTTATGGGCGACAGTACGGAAGAAAAAGCGAGGATCGCAAGCTTCACGGCCTGCCTTCTCGCTCTGGAAAGCGAGGCAGACGCTGCAAAAGCCGCCAAGGAGAGGATCAAGACTGAACGCTCGTCACACGAATATGTAGGTCACACAATTATGCAGCACACCCTTCGTTTAGTCGCTCAGTCCTGAAGTTATTTGTGCATCCACGTGATGGATTGCTCAAGCGGGCCTCAGCTTGCGATCGCTTACGTCTGTGCGTCGCTCTTGCGTTACTTGCGCAGCCTTTGAAAAACAAGAATAAATATAAAGAATTCAGCCATTCCGAGCGACGAGGGATGGTTTTAAACAATGCAGTGGTGATGCGAGCCGTCAGAATGTTTTGTCTTTTTATTAAACGATTTGCAGCATCTTTTTGTTTTCCACTTCAATATGAATATTCGAGAGGGCATTTGAGGCATCTGAGCGCAAGATTTGTGAAATAACTGCAAATTGCTGAAATTTTTGCGAAGACCACCGTGACCAGGACCAAGGGAGTCTCCATGCAGTGCTAACTGCCCGTCCCGTGGCGTAGTTGAATGACATATATACGAAAAGCAAAATAGACTTATTCGAGGAACAATTACTACGAGGAGGTTTGAGTTCCTCGTAATAGTTTTGTACTTTGAACTAGAGTTACTGTATGTGCTACCTTTAGGTATATGCTACCTAAAGGTAGCATATACAGTAATTATACTTTGAACTACAGGGAGTTTGAGGAGGTTTCAGTTAGGGAACTTTACGCGTATTGTCTTCTCAATTGGTAGGCTAGCTTCGGTTCTCAGTGTATACCACAACCATGCCACAAGGAAACCAATGACTAAGAGCATGACAGGATGATGATGATGATGATGATGATGACAACGACGACGATGATGATGACGATGACGATGGTAATGACGACGACGACGACGACGACGACGACGATGATGATGATGATGATGATGATGATGATCTTCTTTCACTGGTGGCGCTCGCTCACGAAGGGGTGAGTGATGGCCGCTTCATACATCGACATACAGAGAGGGAAGTGCTGCGATACACCTTCGCCCCCCGCCTCCCTCCCCTATGCCTCGCATACTACCTCAAGGCAACCCTGCTACAACAAGACCCTCGCTATGAATGAAGGAAAGCTAGAAGTGTGAACTTTAGGGCTCGTTTCTGAGGTTATACACAATAAGGAGTTTTCGAAAAGGGGCTCCAAAAGTTTGGGGCCCCAGAAGCCCTTTGCGTATGGGTACTTTAGGTAAAGCAGGAGCGATGAGTTTTCGGATAGAGTCTGCGGCGTTTTGGAACCTCCCCCCATTCTGATGGCGTTTTTCATTGGTAGATCTGAAGCAGGTTTTTTTTCACTCCGTGGCGACGAATCTGACTTTCACTGGTAGACTAGAAGTTGGTCCACACTTTGTACTGGTAGTTTCACAGAAACTCGCTCCGAGGCGCATTGCTCCCACTGCTCCGCCGCCAAGTCGCGGATTCGAGCGGAAGTACGAAGAGCAGCATACGTCATTTCCGTCATTTTGCGTGGCCTGAGCCATAGAGAAACTATATGGTAATATGGCTGCGTTCGCTGCTGGGGAGCAACTGCTGTCTAGCGACGAGCACACCCAGCAGCAGCCGACGCACAGCCGGAGGGATTTTTCATGTGCACGTCCATATTCGTCTGCGCAGTGCAATAAAATGGTACCCCTGCTTTTGGCGACAGCGTGGTCAAAATGCGCGCTCTGCAGTAAAGACAAATTCGCCATAAAAACGTATGAGAACAGAAAAGGGATTCATTTCTGGAACTGATTTAGTGACGTATGCGCAAACCACTTCCGGAACGACCTTCCACGGGGCATTCACCTGTTTCACTGGCAGATTCGGCTTGGTGCAATCCAAGTGCTCGCTCCGGAATTTCGGCAACCACTCCGCAGATCTGCCCTGTGAGAAACGCCATAAGTCACTCTATAGTCTTGGCCGGGAGCCGTCACCTCAGTGGGTGCTGTAGGTTTGTCTGACGCAAAGCTTTTGGGGGCAGGCTTTGGGGCTACCGCTAAGTTCGAGAAATAGCGCCCCAACGCAAAACCCAAACTTCGTTTGGGTTTTGCGCGTGCGCAGTGGCCTCACCGCCAAACTTTCGGGCCCCTATTCGAAAACTCCCTAATATCAATGATAACTAACAGACAATGACACCAAGTAGGTGGGGGGGAGGGGGGGGGGGCAGGTGAAGGTTTGCTTCCATTCATGAAGAACACTGTGCATGCCTATGCTGCTGATGTACACTTGCGTTCCATTTCATGTCGGGTCGTTCAAATCCGCCTTGCAACAAATTTGCAATATGTTCGGACTCTTAGCTCAGTAAATTGCATAGTGACAGCTTCACTGATCGGTCATTGTGAAAAACAGCAGGACGTCTTTTGCATACGTAAACGGCCACAATAACCCAGAGACAAGGACGGAGAGCTTCGAAGGTGCAGTCCATCCCCGCAAAACAATGCTTTTCAAATGATCGTCAAGGTTTCATAGCTTTGAGTGTCTGCCACATTGCATCGGTTGCCATTGTCTTGGGACGTTCCAAGATATTTTTTTACCTTCCCTTCGAATATTGTTGCAGTGTATTCCTTTGTATTCCGGTGATATGTCGAAACCAACATTCAATATTTTGCACCAACTGTTTTCCAGCGTATACTTTGATTGAAGACACCATCTGAAGAACGGCGTTGCAAGCTAATATGAGAGAGGAAGAGCCGCAAACAAAATAGCTTAGATCACTCTGAGCCGTCTCCATTGTTAAGAACCCATAGATTGTAGAATTCGGTCGTCGAATTTATCTGCCCGGCGGGCGGGTGGCGTGAGTTGGGCCTAAAACTCAGCTAGACGCGAAAGGCCATTCTTGGAAAACATGAACCTGCTTGCGTTTCTGGCGATCGTCGTCTCCTGCTCTACGGTGCTAACTTACGCTCGGAGGCACTTCGAGGTAAGTCCCGCGTACCGTCGACACAACGCAGTATGTTCCAAGTGCTTGCAAGATATACCTGCTATAGCAGCCATATGTTCCTGATAATAACGCCTGCCTTTACTTGCGCTAGCACGTCCTCATGCGCAACTAAAAAAAGAACGTGCAAAAGGCTTGTTATCCGCAAGCACTTCCCAGTGTGGCCAATGTAAGTGAACGAGTGGTCCTGTCTGCTCCAGAGAAACTGTCAAAAATGTGTCACAAAACTTGTCCTGTTTCGGAAGAAAAGAAAGGTTGCCGAATTAAGCATCGCAATAAATATGCTGAGCGTGCACTGTCGGTTGTTTACAGAGTGCCCTTGTCATGTGGTCTTGTTTATGTGGGAACATCTGGAAGATGCATAAACGAGAGGTTAAAAGAACACCACAATAAAGGGCAGAAGGTTACCGATGGTCACTTGGCGATCCACCGTAAGGAGTGCGGTTGTGTGCCGTGTTTCGATAACACTTTCTTGTTATATCGGGACAGAGATTTATTAACCCGCTTGATAGTAGAAGCGGCTGAAATGACACGTGATGATTTTGAGTGTGTTAGTGCACCCTCTATCTCGCTCACGCGGAAAGAACTTTGTTTTCTGGATGGGGTGATAGATAATAACGAACAAGTAATGTACGGGACTGGCACGTGTGCTTTTTGTTGGTCGGCCTTTTATTATGTTTTTTTACCCCTTTATAAACTCTTGCGGTAGCAATAAACGTTTAGTTGAAGTTAAGCGCTGGTGTTGTGTGTCCTGTGTAAAAGTTGCTGCGTTTCCTACCAAGATGTTTTCTCCAGCGCCATACTAACTTTTTTTTAATTACGTATAGCACTTGGGCGGCCCGACCTGTTGTCCATGCGTAGATGTCAATTCACGTGACCACGCTCACGATCAGTGCATGCCTAAAACAAAGTCTGTATTGAGTAATGCTACTATGGCATCTCTCATAACGATGTATTGGTGTGGGGCCGTCGAATATAATGATCGCGACATTAATTAAAGTCATCAGAGTCCGCTAAGATGGCTTTGCCGATTGGCACAGTTCTCGCGCTTCCCTTGAGTATCCACTTCAGTTACAGGAGCAGTGAATGGTATACTCTTCTATCTCTTCCAATCATATCCGGTCCTGCACGTATTTCCGGTGTTAGTAAGATTACTCATAATTCTTCAAAAAAAAACGAAAACCATTTACTGTGTTTCATGTTAAACATTATATGGGATCTATATGCTATCGGGGTAAGCAATTAGTTCATATAATGACAAATTGATTGTCAGCCTAAATAATAATTTTGATTGATTAAGTTCATTAAAAGATTAGAGAGAAAATGAAGCGTATATTTCGCCCCCCCTTGATTTGAAACATCTGCGGGTGGGATACGGAGCAGCTGGGTTCATAGCGGCACCTAGCGCAGCAGATATCAACCGCGTGCTTCTTGATGCGTGGCCTCCGTGATTTGCGACGCTTCTTCTACGTGGAATTTGAGATCTGCTCCGACAGTGCGACGAAGCACGAACTTAGCCTAAGTAATGCACCAAAGCATGCGAGCGCCGTGCAGGGCATGCTACTACCAAATGTCCATGAGGTGGTGCAAAAACTTTTTCTCAGAACGCTAAAAGTTAAAAAAAAAATTTAAAAATTAAGAAAGCAGCGTTGTGGGTGACCTTTAGGCTACCGATAAGGATTAAAATCACCTCCAGAATTACTAAGCGTGGTGATATTCAGGTGGAAGCTTTTAATGTATCATGCTTGCGTACATCCGTTCGTGCTCGGGAACGGTGCCAGCTGTTGCCTCTCCCCCTCACACTCTCTCACCGATCACATGATAGCACAGTGGCGCGCGCGGCAATGCCGCTTCGTCAGGCACAACAGACTTTCGCCGAACACGCTTTGGAAATTACAAAGCGTCTTTAATTTTCTTTCTGCTAAGCATCGCTTTAATTTTTGTCTTTGTTTTGTACCTTTGTACCTTCGCTTTGTTTTGTACCTTTGTCTAAAGTGACCAGTGTATGTACCGTCTCTTTCCCTCAGAAGACGCAGCCCACTGGAAACCCAAATGGAGTAGGAGGGGACGGAGGAGAAGGAGGAGGAGCACCTGCTGCTGAGGAGCCGGATGACTTCGAGGGACAGTTCACGCCGTCGATGAGAAAGTTTCAGCGCCAGGTGCTGAGAGTTACAAACCAGTTCAGGCGTCGGCACGGAGTTCCTATCTTGAAACAGGATGCCCGGGTGAGTGCACAAAAAGCATGCATAACCATAACCGAGCAAAGACAAAAAAGGCACAACCAGGAAAGAAAAAAAAGCAAGAAACTGATGTGAAAAAGAGCGGCCATATTTCTCACGTTCCGCTCAGACCTTTGAAGCAGTTTTAAATACGCTAAAAGCTCGCTAATTCATCGTAACCATCAGCCTGACTTCGACACTCTTTAATTCGGAAAACAGGATTATTTCGACGTGTGTTTTGCTTTCCGTCCCGCATATGCTTTGCTTAATGGAATCCAGCTCTCGTTAACTCTGTGTTATTTGGCCGCAACCCGGTTAATTAAAACAATTCTAGTGGCCCGAAGCGCCCTGTATTGTGAGTTGCAAAGAAATGAAAACGGCGTTCATGCGCAACTGTAACGGTCGTGAGCTCTCAGAAATCTATCTATCTATCTATCTATCTATCTATCTGTCTATCTATCTATCTATCTATCTATCTATCTATCTATCTATCTATCTATCTATCTATCTATCTATCTATCTGTCTGTCTGTCTGTCTGTCTGTCTGTCTGTCTGTCTGTCTGTCTGTCTGTCTGTCTGTCTGTCTGTCCGTCCGTCTATCTATCTATCTATCTATCTATCTATCTATCTATCTATCTATCTATCTATCTATCTATCTAATCTATCTATCTATCTATCTATCTGTCTGTCTGTCTGTCTGTCTGTCTGTCTGTCTGTCTGTCTGTCTGTCTGTCTGTCTGTCTGTCTGTCTGTCTGTCTGTCTGTCTGTGTGTCTGTGTGTCTGTCTGTCTGTCTGTCTGTCTGTCTGTCTGTGTGTCTGTCTGTCTGTCTGTCTGTCCGACTACGTCTGGGTGCCCTCGTGACTACCCCCTTAACCTTTTCCAACCCAAAAATAGTATGTGAGGTTTAGTTGGTATGACGAAAACGACTCGCTGCTCATGACATGAGTTACGTCAGAAAAATAATCGGCAGATCATGCGTACCTTGGGAATCGGCGTTATGCGAAGCATACGGAGGGAACTTGACTTTGTTGTAATTTTTTTTTATTGAGCGACACATTACGAAAGAACGCTAAGTGTCTGTATAAATGTTGCACGCACAGACATGTGTTGAAGAGCTGCAGATGTTTATGTAAAGTTGGTAGCATTTGCGCCTGTGTTGTCGAGAGGATTGGAGGGTGGTAGGAGTGTCGATCTAATTGTTGTGCCAGCAGTTCTGGATCGGACTTGGGCATAAGGGACGCGCGTCCCGTATTGCCTCCATTAAAGGCCAACTGCGGCCATTACTTGACCAGGTCAAGGTTATGGTGTTTCTACGTTCTGAGACACTCTTGTCCCGAGCCCAATAGCTGGAATGCTCGGGAAATTTGAAAATAATCTGTATTAAGCAAAAGTGTGCAATACCGAAAGCCAACCGGGCGCCCTGTCTGTGTATGACGTATACTATTTGGTAATAAACGGAAGTCGTATACTGGTCTCACCAGCGCGGAGTATGAAAACTGTAAAAACCAGTCCAGCGAAGCACCGGCCAAACACCACAGACTGGAAGGAAGAAAGCATTCCCGTGCTATACCCGTGCCAAACACCGCCACCGCCGCCTTGTGGAAAGCACAATAAACGCTGTAGCGGCCCAAGTAGCGATGCCATCGGCTGCGTCACTTCCGTTGACATGCCAAACATGACGTCACACAGACAGTGTTGCCAAAATTTCTGGCAGGCGAGGCGAGCTTTTCGAGGCAATCTTTGAAATTCATTTGCAAACAGTCAGTGCATCACTCAGACCTGTAATTTGGCATAAATGACGGAAATGTGCAAAGGAGCGTACCCAGTGATTTGCATTGAGATCCTTTGACATCGAAAAATTGCCGGAGTTGGCCTTTAAAGCGGTAGTCGCATGGAAAGGTCAGATGCACGGTATAGAGGCGAACTGCCGTGCGCCCTTCTGACATTTATAGAGAAACGCAGCCGAGTATATAAGGAGGCTATATATCGATAAGTGGTAAGAGCTCCGCGCATGCACGTTGGTTGACGTGCAGGCGTGGCTTTGCACTCCGTTACAGTTATAAGATGCGTTATCTAACTCCCGGTATTCTTATCGTTCATTCATGCCTCGAACATCAGCAGATTGGAACCACCTACCCGAAGACAAAGTAATTGTTTCTAAAAACCATCTTTTTTTCGTCATGCTTTACTTAAGGGTGCGCAGTTCTTAAAATGTACTACGTATAACGTTATCTATTGTATTATTTTTCTACTGTATTGAGTTTGATTTGATCGATTGATATGTGGGGTTTAACGTCCCAAAGCCACCACATGATTATGAGAGACGCCGTAGTGGAGGGCTCCGGAAAATTTGACCACCTGGGGTTCTTTAACGTGCACCCAAATCTGAGCACACGGGCCTACAACATTTCCGCCTCCATCGTAAATGCAGCCACTGCAGCCGGGATTCGACCTGCGAGTCAGCAGCCGAGTACCTCAGCCACTAGACCATCGCGGCGGGGCACTGTATTGAGTTTGTTGTTCTTACGCAGCAAGCATTATATAATGAGGAGTTTAGAGTTTCTTTAATGAATTGTTTTCATGGTGTATTTTATGCCTTGCCTACTTTGTAACCATTGCCCTATTTAGTGCCATACGGCGTTGAGGGTAAACACAATGAAGATGGAATTAGAAGCGTGCGGCAATTACTATTTCAGGGCAAGCTCACGCTTTTAATGGCTTGGCCTTTCGTTTGATGCAAGAAAATGTTAGCTCAGAATTTGCGTGTCCCCTTCCTTTTAAAGAGATTGTTATACGGTGTAGACTTCGTGTTTCCTGTCAGATACTTTGCTTGGTGGTTGCTTTGCCTTCCGAACGGCATTGGCTGCTATATGTGATAAGGGCTCCTATGCACTCGTACCTCGGCATAAAACACTTGCATCTTACACGAAAATAAATTCGTTATATCCAAAAGTTCGTTATAAATGGTTATTCTTTACACCAAATCTATTGCGAGACTATTTTTATTTACTTCGTTGTAACCAATATTTCGTTATATCTGGATTCTTTTTATGGAGGTTCAAGTGTATAACGTACTAAGTCATTTGTATAAATGACCTCTCCTCTGCGCCGCAGATGAATCGCTACGCTCAATCATGGGCTCTGGTGTTGGCATTGAAGGACGAATTGCAACTCAGGACCAAGCCAAAGTACGGTGAAAACACGTACAAGTGGTGGAGCACGGACATGAAGGCGCCGATAACGGGTAACGTGCACGTACTTGCAATGCGGCTTGTCTCGCGGCGTGTCTATGTCGAGGTTTTGTTTGAACAGCACTGCAATAAGGCGCCGCAATGTGCTGCTAAAAAGTACGACCTCGGTATATATATATAACCTGCCCTAAATAGACATAGTCTTAGGGCAGGTTATATATATACCGAGGTATAACAGCTGCATATTGCCGGTACTTAGCTACGGAGCAGAAACCTGGAGACTTAGAAAGAGGGTTCAGCTTAAATTGAGGACGACGCAGCGAGCAATGGAAAGAAAAATGGTAGGTGTAACCTTAAGAGACGAGATGAGAGCGGAGTGGATTAGGGAACAAACGGGGGTTAAGAATATCATAGCTGAAATCAAGAAGTGGAAATGGGCATGGGCCCGGCTTGTAGCGCGTAGACAGGATAACCGCTGGTCATTAAGGGTAACTAACTGGATTCCCAGAGAAGGCAAGCGGGTTAGGGGGAGACAGAAGGTTAGGTGGGCAGATGAGATTAAGAAGTTTGTGGGTATAAATTGGCAGCAGCAAGCACAGGACTGGGTTAACTGGCGGAACATGGGAGAGGCCTTTGTCCTGCAGTGGGCGTAGTCAGGCTGATGATGATGATGATGATGATGATGATGATGATGACAACGATGATGATATATAACAACCATAATTACCACAAAACATTTCGGTCGACTTCAAAAAGAAAAGAGGCACAGACAAGAAAGAAAAAAAATCGAGGCACGTCCACAAAGCGAGAGGTGATGAGTGGGCGAAGCAGTGGTATCGTTCGGCGTCACTAGGCGTTACCGCGGATACCACTCGTGACATTGACCAGCCACGCAAGTAAATGATGCTCAGCGGTGTACAGTTATATACAGTGCGTACTGGTCCTTCCATGTTTACTGGTCGTTAATGGTCAATGTTTATTGGTCGAAATTTCCTCAGCCATCCGCTACGGCGTCTCTCCTAGTCATATACGGTGGTTTTGAGACGTTAGACTCCGACAATTACTATAACTATTACCTCTGTGGCGGATGTCGTAGCGTCGTACATCTGTCCATTGCTGCGGACCTGTAAACGTGGATGACGTGCAAATGCGATACCATGCACAAAACACCGCGCGCACGCCGAAAGCCCTCTCAAGACGACTTGTGTCGCGGACACTGCAGAATGCGATCTTGTATGTGGGCTTGGCGAGCGATTATCGCCTACTGCGCAATTTATGGGCGTCGTCGTCACTGTGTCACGTTAGTTGCTGCACACTGCTTTGACCATTGATGTTCGCGTTACCAACCTGGCTTTTGATATCAAGCTAGTTCTTTACCTAGTCGGCAAGATGCCGAGTTTGGCCAGTTGGTTGACGTTAGTATATCGTAAATTTTCGTTAAGCGCAACGAAAAGCATGGAACATGTAGCAGACAGGACAGCGCTGTCCTGTCTACTTCATCTTGTCCATGTTTTTTGGTGTGCTTTACGAAAATGTTCAATACTTACATGTAGTCAACTCTGTCACGTTCTCAACAGCCTCGCTGGTCGTCAGCCTCCATAGAGCTGAATGGTTCACACGCGTTCGTTTGTTTCTTTTTACAGGAAAAGTGCCCGTGACGGACTGGTACAATGAGATAAAGAAGTACAACTTCTCTGATCCCGGCTTCAGGTCCGACATCGGCCACTTCACTCAGCTCGTTTGGAGGGGCAGTCGGCGTCTGGGCACCGGCATAGCCCGCAGCCGGAAGGGAAACTATTACATCGTGTGCGAGTACGAGCCTCGAGGAAACATTCTGGGTCAGTTCGGTCATCAAGTCCGGCGGCGGTTGCGCCGCGGTGGCGCCGGTAGTGACGAAGAAGGCGGTGAAGGCAGCGAAGAAGGTGGCCGCAAAAGGCGACGTAGGCGAAGAAGGAAGCATGACGACGAGGAAGAAGACGACGACTAAACAGCGAGTGCCGAGAATGCGTACAAGTTTATTTATGAACCAAAGAGAAAAAATTAAGTTATGGAGGCTAAACGAATGGGAGTAAATGTGTCAGACTAGCTGGAAGACATTTCCCTGGGTGGACCTCTCTTGGTCCTTCTTGGCGTGTGTGTCCACTTCGGCTGGGAAGGGGTTACGGCTCTCGACTGCTGCCTCGAAGTTCGATTGATTGATTGATTGATTGATTGATTGATTGATTGATTGATTGATTGATTGATTTATATGTGGCACTTTACGCCCCAAAACCACCATATGATTATGAGAGACGCAGTAGTAAATTTCGACCACCTGGGGTTCTTTAACGCGCACTCAAATCGGTGCACACGGGCCTACAGCATTTCCGCCTCCACCGGAAATGCAGCCGCCGCACCCGGGATTCGATCCCGCGACCTGTGAGTCAGCAGCCGAGTACCATAGCCACTTGATCACCGCGGCGGGGCAACCTCGAAGGTCACATGTTCGATCCCGATTGGGGTGGTCACATTTCGATTGACGCAAAAGGCTATATGCCGGTATATCATGTAATGTCGGTTCATACTAAATATCACCAGAAGGTCAAAACTTTCGGAGACCTCCGTTATCTCGTTCGTCATATTCAAACGTAATTTCGGCACTTAACGCACCAGATATTGTTATTAATTTGTGATTATTGTTAATATTGGCTTGTTTATCCAAAGGCTTAATCATCAACGTAAGGACACGTTGTGCTGCTGTGGGTACCAAAAGCGACATCGCTACAAGGGACATTACCAAACTGACACACCTTAATGTCAATGACGTCACCTGGTGACACGATGTTGTGCCAGCAACGTCATCACGACATCACTACCTGGCGTCAGCAACGGCAAGTTAGTAGTCGGCATGACATCACTTATTGTCAACGATTTGGTCTCAACGACGGTTTCTATCGTTGACAACACGTTGTTGACACCATGTGATGTCATTGACACCAACTGGTGACGTCGTTGATTTCACGTCACGTGATATGTCGCTATCGGTAGCGACAACGAAGCCGCGCGACGTAAACAGCTGACGCCTTTTGAATATGAGGAGTGAATAATGAAGGAGGGTCCACCCACAAGAACGTCGGCCAACTGATCTCAGCTGTTTCATTCCTTCTTACAAAACCTATGCGGTAGAGTACGCTTCCGTCTACCGGCTGCTGCGTTTACAAGGCAGGAAAAAAAGTATTTCTGAAGTACGCAGTTCACACACGCAATCTCTACTTCAAGGTCTTTTTTCTTCATTGGACTTTAGCTACAGGTACGCCTCTGCCACAACTTGTTGAATTGCCGTTTGACACGACTTATACAAGAGCGGCCGAACTTCTGGGTACAATGAAGGTTCAAAGGTCCACCTAGGTTTGTAAGGTGCTGCGATGTTTGGCTGCTTACCCGAACGTCACCAGTTCGATTTCGACCGCGGCAGTACAATTTATAGGGCGGTTAAATCGTATAGACCCGTAGATGGGCTGTGAGATGTCGGCACAGGCTAAACAAAAAACGCCAGATGTTCAAAATTTCCGGAGTGCTTCACTATGGTGCATCTCATAACCATATCTTGGTTTTCGGACGTAAAGCCTAAAAAATTATTATTAACGAAGCTTGAAAGGGTCGAAATTCGTCGAATAAATAACCTGGCTAGGGACAGAGTTGTCTATGCGGCTGATAGTGCGTGAATTCTGGCTATTTTTCCCGCCGATTCGGTTGCAGAATGTTTCAATCGCTGCTGCGTCTTTCTTTTTTTTTCTTTCTTATCTGTATTTTTTTCGAGCAAGTATAGTTATTTTACTGACCATCATATCCCCTAACGACAGTTTTGTCGGGTCACTAATAGCACTTCTGTCTACGACTTGTGAGTAGCTGAAAATCGTTGGCAGAATAATCAAGTAATGCTAATCATGCACTGGCCAATGTGCATTCAGCACGTTCGCCATGAGTGAAATTAGGGAGAGCCATGAATGAGAAAAAGTTTTAGGTGTCAACATGCGCTTTCGTTCATAGTTGCGTATATTAACACTATACCACAAAATTAAAGTGATTTCTTCAACTGTTTTTTATTTGTATATAAGTGAAATTTATATAAGTAGAATGTTTTCAAGAATTGGAAAATTTATTGAATTTCGGCTTCTTTTCGGTGATGATTATATGCCTGTTAGCTCGATGGAATCTGATAACTCTAGCTAGAGACTACGCTCCTTCAACAATATTTGTCTTCTGGCAAGTATGAGACGAAGACAAGCTCTCTTGTCGAAAACGCTGGCTCAGCAACCCCCCGGATCGACAGCAGCATCAACTTCAACCAAGTGTTTAAGAAGCCAGCGCAGCCCAAACCAATTCAGTGGACACGGGATCGGTGCTTCTGTACAAGCACTGAATCGCTTCCCTTTTGCAATGCAGGTTCAGCTGGCATTCCTCGTGCCCTTCTTATCAAGTGCATCCTTAGGCGTGATATGCGCTCCTTCATTACCCTCGACGCTGGAACATCTAGGCGTCGGCGCGTCTGACGTGGTGATCTTTTCGCCTCGTGATTTCGCGCCCATGCCTACCCTGCCTATTCTTGATGAACTCGTCTTCAAGCAACCCCCCGGATCGACAGCAGCATCAACTTCAACCAAGTGTTTAAGAAGCCAGCGCAGCCCAAACCAATTCAGTGGACACGGGATCGGTGCTTCTGTACAAGCACTGAATCGCTTCCCTTTTGCAATGCAGGTTCAGCTGGCATTCCTCGTGCCCTTCTTATCAAGTGCATCCTTAGGCGTGATATGCGCTCCTTCATTACCCTCGACGCTGGAACATCTAGGCGTCGGCGCGTCTGACGTGGTGATCTTTTCGCCTCGTGATTTCGCGCCCATGCCTACCCTGCCTATTCTTGATGAACTCGTCTTCAAGCAACCCCCCGGATCGACAGCAGCATCAACTTCAACCAAGTGTTTAAGAAGCCAGCGCAGCCCAAACCAATTCAGTGGACACGGGATCGGTGCTTCTGTACAAGCACTGAATCGCTTCCCTTTTGCAATGCAGGTGTGTGCAAACGTTTCTTTATATGCAAAGAAAAATAACAACCTCTGCTTAATACTGGTCCCGTGTCCACGGGTGTTGTGTGAAGTGTTTTGTGAATGTTTTTTCATACCTTTTTTGCTTCTACGCGCTGGCGATGTTGAGAGCAACCCCGGGCCCCCTACCAAGCGTTCGGACACGCTCGGTGACATAGCATCCTTACCCGCAGATCCCGCGGAACAGATGAGGGTCATTTTCCAAATGCTCAAAGATGTTCACACCCGCTCACTGGAAAGTTCGAAGGTACAGACCGAATTAGCAGCTGATGTTAAAGCAATTAAATCTGGACAGAAATCCATCGAAACCAAGATCACTGCTATTCAGAACCGGCTTGAAGTACTGGAGGAAAATTATAAAAAACTAGAAGAACTTGCCCAGGAAGTTAGTAGCATCCATACTCAGACAGATCAGCTTTCCGCTCAGGTATGCTCATTGCAAACACGCGTGCAGGATCACGATGACAGACTGCGACGCAACAACCTCATTTTCTACGGCATCCCAGATTCTGAAGAAACCTGGGCAATGACAGAGGAAAAAGTTATTTCCACTCTCAATTGCCACCTTTCTTCTCCCCTTTCCTCTGATGCCATTGAACGCGCGCATCGCTTGGGTACCTTCAGCCAGGGCAAATGTCGCCCAATCATAGTTAAATGCCTATCCTATAAAACAAAAGATGCGTTACTTGCGACACATATACACCTAAAGAAACATAACATCACTGTAGCAGAGGATTTTTCACCCGCTACACGTGCAGCTCGGAAAAAACTACTTGATTTTGCCAAGAGTCAACCAGGCCCCGTCAAGCATAAACTCAGCTACAACAAGCTGCTTCTGAACCAAAAATGCTACATGTACGACCCAAACAGTGATGCAATCATCAACATTCCAAATCGTAGTACACAAACCATTGCCCCGCCTGCAACTTCCAAGCCCTAGGAAAACGCGAGGGGCAGTGGTCATGTGACTGTAGCTTCCATATCGGTCCTGTTTACTAATATCAGAAGTGTTCTTAACAAGTATAACTCTCTATCATCAGCGATCGACACATGCTCCGCTAAAATTATCGCGTTAACTGAAACTTGGCTCTGCGGGCAAGTGTGCGACTCCGAGATATTTTTAAACGCTCATCGCTTCTCACTTTTTCGTCGCGACCGTGGCACACAGAGAGGCGGTGGCGTACTTCTGGCTATTTCCAGCGATATCCCATCATCATCTGTACACGTTCATACTAATCTAGAAATGATATGGGCTGTGGTAACGCTTAGTCACCAGAATGTAGTCATCGGGGTATGCTACCGCCCACCCTCACCCTCGCCTACATTCAGTAGCGAACTTCAAGATGCCATAAACGTTGTTAGTACGCGTTTCCCTACATCGCCGTTGCTCTTGCTGGGTGATTTCAATTTTCCCAACATAACCTGGAATTCCCATTCCCCTTTAATATTTCCGCTTTCGTCCCAAGCTCGCGAATTTTTAGACGTTTGCTCGGTATTTTCCTTACAGCAAATGTGTACACAAGCAACCAGAATAGTAGCTCACGCTGCAAACACATTAGACTTAATTCTAACAAACAGTTCCGACATAATATCGCCCATAACGTACCTTCCGGGTCTTAGCGATCATTTGCTTCTACATTTTTCCATTAACTTAGCCCACCCGAAAACAAAGAAAAAGAAGAAAATCATTCGTGACTATAACAGAGGTGACTTTGAGGCAATCAACAATGACCTTTCTACCTTCACTGATCTTTTTCTTCACGGTTTTGACGATCGCAGTGTACAAACTAATTGGAATATGTTTTCAGATAAAATAATTCAACTCACTGAACAGTACATCCCACACCGCAGTGTAACCAACAACTCAAATGCACCTTGGTACAACAGCCATATCCGGCGTTTG